AAACCCTAAACCCTAAACAGCAAACCAAATTATGGAAGTTTAAGGTGGACCCGAGAGTCGGAGTCGGCCGGGCCGGCGACCACTTGATGTTGTCATTGTTGGGTTTTGGGTTTTGGGCTTATAGGGTTGATAGGGTTTATAGGGTTTATATTTTAGAGGGTTTAGAGGTTTTAGGGTCTTAGGGTTTAGGGTTTAGGGTTTAGGATCTGCAGCAAGAAGGAGTGCCTAACGGGTACCCCGAAGCGAAGAGCCCTAAGCACCGTCAGGGAGGAGGGTTTTATGAGCTGTGCTGGTGCCGCTCCGAGAGGACCTCAACCCCATGGGGTTTAGGGTGTTTCGGGCTCCAGCAGTCAGTTCTTGGATGGAAGGTTTGGGAGGGAAGTTGTGTGCGGACGTGAGGTTTGGAGTTCGTGGTTTGGGTAGGCTCTTCTCTTTTTGGGGGTCCTTCGTAGAATAGGCGATGAATCAAACAGGTACGGTTGGGACACCTAGTTCGGAACAAAGCAGCTCGGTGCATTGGGTTCGCTGATGTTGTGGGAGCAGAAGACTAACCCTATCTACTGTACACTGTAAAACGACCAAGCCTCAGACGTGAGGATAGCCAGCATTCTGATGGGGAGCAGAACAGCGGCTTCGTGGGCGAGCAACCAACGCAATTGCTACTGGACAGGTGGACCTTGGCCAAATGCATGAGACTTGCATATCTTACTGGTAAAACGGTTTGTTTTGGCGCTGTCATGTGGCAGTGGTGTTAAACGTTGTAATTGAACCGCTTTGTCCTTCGGCTTTGCAGAAGACAGGAACCACACCTACCTTGCCGTCGGTGATGGCGCGAATCACATCCAAACCGAGTACTTCCCCTTCACACGCCCGCTTGACATTCAGGTAATAGAGCAACTTCAACACCTATTGGTTGACGATCTGGACAAGGAGGAGTGCACGAAACTGCTGGATATCTATGCGCCTGAGAAACTTTCGCTGCTTCAAGATCTGCCACCCTGGCTTCCATGGCTTCTGCTGCTCTTGCTTCTGCCTCTTTCATGCCTCCTCTGCTTCTTGTGGCCAAAGTTGTGCAAGAAGCGACAGCTTTCCTCCCCAGCGAAGCTGGGGCGCTCTGCAGTTGCGGAGTCCAACGTCGTAGCATTCAGTGCACAAAACGTAGGGTTCAGGCTTTACGGATTAGGGAGGAGCAAGGGAAGGGTTCACCCTACTGAATCCCAACCCTGTAAGAACTATAAGTGGAGGCCGTTCATTTATCAAAGTGAGTGGGTTTGTGAACCGGGTTTGTGAATCAGGGGTCTACGGTCTCAATTAATAATTGTGGTTTTGCACTGCCTCTCAGTGCGCAGATTGAGGTTGCCTCAGTCTGCCCAATATAGGGGCCTTAGGACTTAGAATGTGTTTGAATTTTTAGTATTTTGAGGGATATATATATATATATGTATATATATATACATACATAATATATGTATACACAGAACAGTACCCAAGACGACCCCACAGAACATAACGGATATGTTTATATATAGTTATGTACATATGTATATATATATATAATCTGTCTCTATCTATCTATCTGTTTCTCTGTCTATCTATCTGTCTATCTATATATACATGTATACACACACACACATACCACAGATCGAACCTCCAAGCCGGCAGCCCTAAACGGCCCCAAACCAAGGCCCGGCATTGGGGCCCCAAGGCCCGCAGAGCCACGGTTTAGGGCCCCTAGGGTTTAGGGTTTAGGGTTAGGTGTTTAGGTGTTTAGGGTTTAGGGATTAGTGTTTAGGGTTTAGTGTTTACGATTTATAGGGTTTGCGATGTAGGGCTTAGGGTTTAGTGTTTACCAGCATTTAATTTAGTTCTCGCATTGCGTGTTTTTTTCCTAAGTTTGTGAGCCTTTTCAAGTCCTTGCCGTAAAAGTGGCGTGCTCGATTTGAGGCCCGAACAGGGGCGGTTTAGGGTTTAGGGTTTTGTACAGGCATAGGCTTCAAAGGCGCCCTCAAAAACTAAACCATGAAGCCTAAGCCACAAGCCCCAAAGCCTGAAACCCCCTAAACTTAGGCCCTATGCCCTAAACCCTAAGACCTGAAACCCTAAGCCCCAAACCCTGAAGCCCTACTAGGGACTGAAAGTCAGGTCTTGGCCGCTGATGGCTTTACCTACGAACGGCAGGCTGCTTGGGCCCGGATCCAGGGATCCAGTGTCCCTCGTGTGGGCCCACTGAAAAACGGCTCCTTTCAGGGATCTACGCTGAGTGTTTTAGGCCTGAGGGGAATTTGTTCTCCTCATGTTGAGGGCGAAGGGTTTCTGACAGGGTGTCAACTGACCCTTGTATTATGACTGGGATTCTTGAATACTCCCTACCCCTTAAAAAACCCTCAACACCTTTATTCGATGGCCAGGCCATTGAGAAGTGGCTCTCCATGCACAACACATCGCCGATGACGGGAGCTGTCTTGGCGCACAGGCTGACGCCCGCATAGGGATTCCAGGGTATACTGAGTGGGAGAGGTTGCTGTTGAGGGTTTAGGTTTAGGGCCTAGTTGGGGCTTAAACTTGACATTTGAGGGGGTATGGGCCAAACCCTAAACTTAAACCCTAAACCCCATATGGGGCCTTAGACCCCAAGCCATGAATCTGCAGCTTTTGAAGGAGCAAGGGGTCCAGGGATTACATAATGTCCGTGCAGTTCAAGGTTCGCAAGCAGTAAACACTAAACCCTATAAATGCCTAGAAACCCCAGAAACCCTCTAAGCCCTATAAGTCCTACCTGGGGATCCAATAACCTACTGTTTTGGGGGTTGTGCCTTAAAATTAAAGGGTCATAACCAACTATTTTGTAGGCTTTGGGGATACAGGTAAGCCGTAAAGCAAGACCCATGCTGAGCTCTGTCGCGAGGTATCTCACCGAGAACTTCGCGCTCCGCCACCTCATCGAGACCTACGAAGCGCAACTGTCAGAGAAGAGGCACAGCGGGCAAAGATGCAAGAGTCAGCGGTTTAGGGGTGTAGGGGTTGAAGGTGCAGGGCTTATAGGGTTTAGAGACGCTAGGTTTGGGGGGTTTTGGGTTTCAGAATAGTGAGTATGAGGAGTTGGGGTTTGAGCTTTGGGGTCTTGGCATTCTGTTGCCACTTGTTAGCCTTCGGGGTTGCTTTGAGTGTCAGGATCCTGTTCAAGCTTGCTTTTCCTGTGCCTTTCAGGGCTTAGGGCTTACCCATAGGCTCCATTGTGGTTCCTTTTTTGGGAGTACCTTGTAGGATCCTAAACATGAACCACAAAACGGAACTACCATGGAGCCTACGGCGCCAACCAAAACGCTCATACCCTTAAGCCCTAAACCCTAAACCCCTGAACCCTAAACCCTTAAGGCCTAAACCCTAAGCCCCTAAACCCCGCTTTACCCTTAAACTCTAAGCCCTAAGCCCTTGAACCCTAAACCCCCAAACCACGAAAGCTTTACGGCCAAAGCCCTAGGCCCACGAGGGGGTCTAACGTAGCGACCACTTTCATACCAGGCTTCAGGGCTTAGGGCTTTAGCGTTTAGGGGTTTAGGGGTTAGGGGTTTAGGAGTTTAGGGCTTAGGGCTTTAGGGTTTAGGGCTTTAGGTGTTCAGGGGCTTCGGGGTCTCCCAGTGGGCGATTTTTGTTTTTCCTTTTTTGTTGGTGTTCTTCGGTTCCATCAAAACTGCCCGATGCCACAGACGGGAGCCCAGTTTTGCTCCTAAGCCGCCGGGGATCCTAGTTTTGTAATCTCCCCTGCTAGACCCTGCAAGTTTGATTCTAGAAGACAATCCCAAATGGGATTCTCCGAAAATTAGGGTACCTTATTTTGGGATCCTTATAATGGGGTTCCTACTATTTATATTTGGGTCCCCTATTTTCGGAAACCCCCAAAACTTATTCTCAGTAGTCAGGCCTCAAAATTGCGGTCCGAAGCTCATGTGCCTGCTATACTAAGTCATCTTAGAGGGAGCCCAGAGACACAAGATGGCTTTTCTCCGGAAAGAAACTCCATGTAGGGCAGTTGCCTCAAACCTTCTCACGATTATGGTTGTGAGTATTACCATGTATTCCTACCTCCTTTCATCAGTAATAATGTCCATTACCCTCGGTATTCTCAGTTATATTATCATTATTATGTGTTATCATTTATTCTCCCTATTATCGCTCACTGACTTACCCTCCCCTGAGCTTTGAAGCAGTTTGCAGGACGACGGAGGGTCGTCGAGCAGGTGTTTCGAAGACCTGTCCCCACCTCGGTTTTGAGGGAGCCGTGAGGCTCGTAAAAAACCCGAAGTCCTAACACGCTTGAGGGGTTTGTTGAGGCTTTGGGGTTATCCTAAAGCCTCAACTTTAGACCCTAAATTCTAAAGCCTAAACCCGAAACTCTAAATCCTAAACCCTAAATCCTAAAGCCTAAACTTTAAACCCTAAACCCTAAATCCTAAATCCTAAACCCGAAACCCTAAACCGTTTGTGGTTTTGGGTTTTGGAGTTCGGTTTGAGGGTTGAGACTTGGGGGTTGAAGGTCGAGGGTTCAGGGTTTAGGGTTTAGGGTTGAGGGTCTAGGGTTTAGGGTTTAGGGTCGAGGGTTTCAGGTTTAGGGTTGAGGGTTGAGGGTTTAAGACATTTTGTCGGGATTTGGGACAGGAAATCATGGCCTACACATGGTGAGTAGCCAGGTGTCAGATAGCCCAGATATGCGGTAAGCCTTGAAGACCCCTTGCTGAAGTTTTCTAGAGCCCTTTTAAAGAGGCCATTGAATGGAGGAGCCTTCCAGAAACCGACATATCCTTGGGTCCTAAAGCGTTCTTCTTGCAATCTTGGAGCCACTCTAAGGCATCTCTCCACCGCTGTCTGAGCTCAGCGATGAGGCTCGCTTGCCTAGGACCACCGGGGCGCACCAACCGCCAAAGGGCCAGGCATTCCGAGCCTGAACTCAACAGACTGAGCAGGCCTGACAGCTACATATATATATATAACAGTCTATAATTACCCATAGGCTCCATTGCGGTTCCTTTTGGGATTACCCTATAGGAGCCTAAATATGAACCACAAGAAAGGAACTACCATGGAGCCGATGCGTAGCTGTCATGTACAGCAAAATCTGGATTTTACCACCCCTCATGAGCGTTGAGAAGAGCTGCAGAGCGGGAAGTCGGGCTGGGGTCGCTGCGCCTGGTTTCTTTAACCCGATGCTTCCAAGGACCTTATAGTTAAGGCCCTAGAGCCCTTAAGGACCCAATAATTAGGTCCCTGGAAGCCTAGGGTAACAGAAGATCACACTTTTTCGGATCTCGATTTGTCAAAACCCCCACAGGCTAAACCCGAGTTGCTGCTTTTAGAGGTGGAAGCTTCTTCTCTTCTTTACGCATAGGCTCCAGGGTTGGTTCATATGTAGGATCCGATAAGGTAATCCAAAGAAGGAACTAGAATGGAGCCTGTGGGTAACCCTGTTTTTTCGCTCCGGGGATTCGCCGCTGCAGGGATTTCGGAGTTTCTGGGGTAGGGGCTTCAGACCCATCCGAATCCTAAGCCCCAAACTCCCTAAACCCTAAAGCCCAAACCCAAAGTCATCCGAATCCTTGAGTGATATGTCGCACGCGACATCAGGCCGATTCGTACATGGAAGAAGAGTGGAGCAACGAGGCAGGGAGTGCTTACAGCGTGCGGGTTCAACTTGCATCTAACATCTCCGAAGTCTGAAGCCTTTAACTTCAGACCCGAAACCTAAACACTGAAACCCGAAACCTAAGTACGAGTTCGGGGTCTATCCCCTGCACTAAATCCTATATCACCCCTTCTCAGGGGCCCTACTGTGAACAAGAGCTGAAATTCCAGCATGGCACGGCAGTGCTGTTTTCTAGCCCCTGAGAGTGTGGGGTTCGCAATGCGTTTTAATTACACGAGCCCTCCGCTGCAGGTCTCGCCCTCTCGCAACTCTTAGATGGTCTTACCCATAAAGCCTATAAGCCCTAAACCCAAAACCCT